GCCGAATCTGTAACAATTGGGATAGCTTTGTTGTGAGATTTCAACGAGATCGTAGACATTTAATGTAAACTCAGCCTACTCATTAAACAGGGCAGAGGTCGCCGCCACCGTTCGTGGCGGGGGTGAGATGGTGGGCTGGACTATGCTCTCTTGGCACCAGTTCTGGGCCTTTCAGTGTGTGTATCTTGTGAAGCTGACTGTGATTCTAGTGTTCGGTTTTTAAAACAAGATTCTAGGCAGTGGTTCTCAACCTTCTGGCCCTTTGAATACAGTTCCTCATGTTGTGACCCAACCATAAAATTATTTTCGTTGCTACTTCATAACTGTAATGTTGCTACTGTTATGAATCGTAATGTAAATATCTGATATGCAGGATGGTCTTAGGCGACCCCTGTGAAAGGGTCGTTCGACCGCCAAAGGGGTCGCGACCCACAGGTTGAGAACCGCTGTAAGTGTTTTAAGATGCCTAACAGTACCATCTGACGGCATTCTAACCACATTTACCGCAATCCCTCTCCATGCTGGAAACAACGAGCTGACTTACGGAGGGTGGTATGCCCGCGTCCATGTGGCACATAAATACGACCTCAGGAAATCCACACATGCAATCAAAATTCAACACATTTGTGAAGCAAGTCATCAAGTTCTCCTGTAACTACTCCAGTGACAGCAAAGTTCATGTGATAACTCTTTTTTTTTTTTTTTGTATAAGCAAAGGTGGAAATTTATTGAAGAACAAGTACAGACTCCCACATGGGGAGGGGGAAAGGGTCCCCTGATCACTCTTTAATGAAGACTGAAAGAGCACTAAATTTATGCCTGGAAGAAATGAACCAGAAATCTGTCACTAACAATGGCAATATGTGGCAAAAAAAATAAAAATAAAAATAATAATTTTTTTAAAAGGAGGGAAAAGAAAAGCTCTTGGTCTCAAGTCACAGTTCAAACCTCCTGCCAGAGAAGACAGCCTTTGGGTGGAAGGATTTCCCAACCAGCCAGATGGCATAAGAGTTTTAGAAACCACCTTAACCTCAAAAACGTGCAAACTGTTGGTGAGGCTGTATCTGGAGCAGTGGTTCTCAACCTTCCTAATGCCGCGACCCTTTAATATAGTTCCTCATGTTGTGGTGACCCCCAACCATAAAATTATTTTCGTTGCTACTTCATAACTGTAATTTTGCTACTGTTATGAATCGTAATGTAAATATCTGATATGCAGGATGTATTTTCATTGTTACAAATTGACATAATTAAAGCATAGTGATTAATCACAAAACAATATGTAATTATATATGTGTTTTCCGATGGTCTTAGGCGACCCCTGTGAAAGGGTCGTTCGACCCCAAAGGGGTCGAGACCCACAGGTTGAGAAACGCTGATCTAAGGGAAAGGTCTGCTCATTGGGGTGAATGATAGCAGGTAAAGCTGGGGGTGGGAGTCTAGGTGAGTTGGGGCCTGAATGAAGCTAGGAAGCTTCCAGGACATGTCACAGGGGTGAGGTGGGTGTTAAGCCACAGACACAGCAGGGGAAGCAGAGGGTTGGAATGCAGAACCAAGGACACATCTGGGGGACCTCGGGGGTCAGAAGCTTGTGTGTCGTCACATGGGCCATTTGAGAGCCTGGCCCTGCGGCATGGTGGGGGGCTGGGAAGATTGGACCAGGGCCACTTGCAGCAAATAAGCCTCTTAACTGATTCAAAGAACAGTTCCTTTCAGTATCTTATGGAGTTCATTGTGTTTTTTAAAACCTTTTAATAGGATTGCTTTTAGGAGCTCTGTAATTTTTTCAGTTCTCCTTGTTTTTGAGAGGAAAACTGTGTTGTAGGAGAGACTGGTGGGGTTTTTAGCCGTGACTCAGACCTGGTTTGCTGTAGCCCAGCTCTGCTGAGGGGGGCTCAGAGTCCCTCTCTGCCCCTTCCCATCTCTCCAAGCCTCAGTTTTCCTGTTCTGTAAAGTGGGAACAATAACTCCCTGCTAGAGCTGTGGTGAGAATGAAATAAGATTGTGCATGGAAAGCACTTGGCAGGGTGCCCAACTACAAAGAACACTTAAACTCACGGGGCCGGGGTGGGGGGGTGGAGGGGCTGGGGATTTGATCATGAGTATAAGCTGGGTTTGCAGCCCATCAGCGGACCTATCCTCATCTCAGATGATTGTGTGTCACCAGCCACCTCTTGGGAACCTGGGAGCCAGGGGTGCTTAGAAAGCCTGTAACCCTTTGGCTCATTTCTCACGAGGCTTCTGGAGGCTCTGGGTTCATTTGTGGTGCTAGTTGTCTGCCTGGGCTGCGCAGGGGAGATCTCAACCCCTAGGCCATCCCCAGACCGACTGAATCACAATCTTGGGGCATGGGGCCCAGGCATCGGAGTTCTTTAAAGCTTCTGTTTCCAATGTGCAGCCAGGACTGAGAGCCACAGGTTAGACTGTGAGGCAGGGAAGATGGGTGCCCTGAACTCTGTCCTGGCCAAAGCATTGCTAACACGTTGGGGGATAGAGTCACCCCGATGACTCATTCGCACTCCCGATAAGTCTTCATTTCTATCTGGATCACTGCATATTTTTTCTTTCTGTGCTTTCGTTTTCTTTCTATACTTTTGTAAACAAAAGGAGGGGCTCTGAGCCAGGCAACCTGGGTCAGAAAACAAGGTGTTTCTCACCAGCTGTGTGACCCTAGGGCAGGTTGCTTGGCCTCTCTGTTCCCAGTTTCCACATCTGTAAATGGAGGTTCACGCCCCCACTTCATGGAGTGTTTGCAGTGTGTTATAAAGGGCTTTGCACGGAACTCAGAAATGGCAGGTACTCTAGTTGTAATCACTACGATTTCCACTACTGTAGGTATTATCACCAGCCTCTTGATCATCTTGCTGGGTTGACAGACGCTTATCAAGAAAGGAGGGGTCCTAACCCCAATGGAAAAGGAGAGAAATGTTGCAGCGCTAGGCTCGGAGGGGGTGTGGCGGGGAGGCACCTGGGCTGCCAGTGGCCCCTCCCCCAAACTGGTCAGCCGTCACAGGTGGTGGTTTCCGTGAACCTCAAACTTCCTCCCCACCCTAGAGAAGGAAAAACTGTTACGCTTATTTAAAGACTTCCCTGATTTTAAAAATAGGCATCCCTCAGAACACAGATGCCCAGAGGCTGGGGGGGCGGGGGGGTGAGGGCCCAGGGGTGGTGAGCTTGCTGCTGGGACCCTCCAGGTAGTTGTAGTGGGAACCTGCAGTCCTCTAGCCACAGAGGATCATACCTGAGCAGGAACCCACCTGGTCTCTGCCCTGATGGGGATGACAGACTCCAACAGTCACAGAAACTGCTGGACCTGACTCCACAGGGGCGGAGAGAGGGACCCTTTGTGAGTGCAACGGGGGTGGTAGCTGGTCTGGAGCTGGGATTCTTGAGAGAGACCTCCCGAAGGGGGTTATTCTTTTGTTGTTGTTGTTAATCCTCACCTGAGGATATTTTTCCATTGATTTTTAGAGAGTGGAAAGGAGGGGGAGAGACAGAGAGAGAGAGAGAAAGAGAGAGAGAGAGAGAGAAACATCGATGTGAGAGACGTCGATTGGTTGCCTCCCACATGGTCGGGGATGGGACCTACAGCTGAGGTTGATGCCCTTGACTGGAATCGAACCTGGACCCTGCAGTCCATGGGACGATGCTCTATCCACTGAGCCAAACTGGCTAGGGCCTGAAGCGGGTTAAAGAAGACACATGACACAGTGGAAGAGGGGCTGGAGTTTTAGGCAAGGGAAAATTGCAAAGGCCCTGTGGTTGAAGGAACGTGTTGCTTACAGAGGGCTGAGTACATTGTGGCCCAGCAGAGAGGGTGGTGAAAGTGAGGTCAGATGGGCAGGCGGAGGCCATAGCATGCAGAATAGGCGTGGGCCTCTGGAAGGCACTTGGTCTTATTTTTAAGAGCAGTGGGAAGTCCAAGAAGGGTTTTAAATAAGGGAGTGTGTCAGAGGTCCCCAACATCACCCAGGTTCAGGGTTTT